CGATTTCATAAACAAACAAAATTAATAAAATAAATAAATGTAAAAAAAACCTTTTTAAAAACATGCTTTTCAAAAAAATAGTAAAAAAGTGAACTAAAAAGTAAAAAATAATTTTACCTCAAGAACAATTTACCAATCAATTGTGGCACATTTTATTTAAAATGTAAATTACTTTGAGAACAACCAAAAATTAACTCCAATTTAAATATTGTTAAACATCTTTATTTTTGGCTAAAAAGAAAAGCGTGCGCCCTATTCAACAAACTCCTTAATGAAATTATCAAATAACATTTCAGATAATCTTTTATGTTGTAAGTTTTTTTGTAATTTAAATTTGGTTCAATTTTAGTGTGTGACACATACATTTCATAATACTTAACTCAAAGAATTTGGACTTTGTGTAATAAGCAATAACATGTAAACATGACATATTTAATGCATTCTTATAATTTTTAAACTGGTTATAAAGTTATTTCTATATAAAAAAAACAAAAAAAGTTATCTAATCTGTGTTTCCGTATTACTGAATTATCTCATATGAACAACTTTATTTAGGATGTTTAATGCAAATTTCGTTTGTATCAAAGCTGTAATAAAAATCATGTTTAGGCTTGTATACTATCGCCGGTGTTTCTAGAGTTCTCTATACTATGCCCCTGTCATGTAAATTTTTTTTACTCAATATTAATATGATTGATGCCCCAATGCGACAACAGTGTGTCAAACCTCGATTTCACCAACTAAAAGTTCTCTTTTTCGGTAGTTAATTAATTTAAATTGATACTCCTGTTTATTATAACTCAATTAAATATCTAATGAATTTAACTACTATCACGTGTTCCTTTAGATTAGTGGATATCCATTGTTTCAGATACCAAAGGCTCAGCATAATATTCCTAGAATAACATAACTCTTATCTTATTATAGCCTTTTCATATAGTTTTCCGAAGTTTCAAGGCATAAAAGACGAGTCATAGCGAATGTACTTGAACTTTTTGTATCTCATTTCAGTGTGCATGTGTTACTTTTATTGGGAATATATGGTGCAGTATTACAATTGATATAATTGGGCAAATGTATTATTCTGTGCGTAAAAGTTGTATAAAAATGTATTTATGACAATACGGCCGACTTTAATATAATACTACAATAGAAATTATGAAGAGCTTAATAGTGTATGTTCATATGAGCAGTGTTTCTATTAACGGGATGTAGGTATTGAATTGAATGATATTTAATAACGATTTACAATTTGTTTGTTATTTTTTCTCGAGTTCTTCGGGTAAGTTGGACAAATGCAAAAAAATTAATTAATTATCGAATATAAAATAAATGTAAGTACACAGTATAACATGTCACTAAAAACAAAAAACGATGTGCCATCATTCATCTTCCAATTTCAAAACTTTTTTTTTTTACTATTGAATTAAGATTTTTATTTTTATCATTTTGAAGAGTTTAAGAGGACGCTATCCAGGCCATTTCTCTAAGGAATAAAGTATAGGCAATTTTTCGAAAAATCTTAAATTAGTGTTTGAACTCTAATGTATACTTATTATTACAGTAATACTTTGTGGATTGACATTTTTTTTGTCAGACTATCACAGTCATTTCTATAGGATAAATTACAATTTTTTTTCCATCAAAACTTCTTTGCGCGGGACAAGTATGTGAGGCCAGTATCAACAGTAAATTTACCAAATTATCACAATGTATAGAGAAGAACTTTATCCATTCCATATCTTTAATTTTTTTGACATCTTTACTTAATATTTTTTTATAAACAAAATAAAAATGGAAAAAATTATGAATAATATTGATTGTGCTTAAGTTATAAAAAAAACTAAAAACGCTACCCCGTAGATAAAGTTTTTCTCTGTCCATTGTAAAAATTGTATACGGCTACTTTAAATACTGCCCTCGCATTCTTGTCCCTCGCAAAACTATTTTTGGTGGATAAATTACGGGCGGGTAGCGTCTTCTTAACAAAAAATGTAAAATCCTAAGGTCGTTTAAAAAAATTTACAAAACCCGATTTTTTCTTATTACTTTTCTTATCTTGATTTTGTTTTAAGACTTTTTCTTTAAATCCATTTTTTCGGCAAGCGGATTATATATATAAAGTCGTATAACAAGTATAAAGTTTTCAATAATAAAGAGCGTACAAGCTACATAAAACGTACACACCACAATTTTCTGTATTTTGTCTACGAGGTTTTATTGAAAATTGAAAATTTTTGTTTGATGAATATTCAATCAATATAGCAGTTGGAAAACATCTGCGCGTGAACATATCCTAAAAAATGACGTCTCTTTCGATATTCGGTTCGGAAAGTAATTTATTTAGATCATACGTTTTTAGAACTATACAGGTTTACTGCCTGTTACTATATCAACCAGTATTTTAGATTTTAAGATTTATGGTTATACGGGCTATATGGATGGGAAACGTAATATAAAACAATATTTCGTTTTAAACAATCCGAACTAGGTACATTATGTTAGAAAATTTAACAAAATATTAACTACCTACACACAATATTATAGCTTGTGATTGATCAATTTTATATAAAATAATTGTTTATCTATCACTTTGCTTCGATAGAAAATTATTAGGATATTACCCGAGTCTGGTTACGATTTAGAAATTATTATAACTAAAGTCTCAAAATGACTCAAAAAATACGTATTGATGCAATTCGATTATAGTTAGTAAGCTAAAAAAGGAAATTATACGAATCAGTATAGTGATAAGCAACAAGTATGATTAAAACCGTATTTTTTTGTCAATTTTTTTCTGGTCAATATATTATTTACAATTTTTTATTTGTATATTAGGGAAATTTGAAAAGAGAGGAGAGGTTAGATTCAGACACATTTACGATACAATGTATTGTTGGATAAGATTAATAAATCTTTTCATTTATGGTAAATTATTGAAGAATCGGAGAATATTTTGAAGAGTACAATAAAGATGAAGTGATGTGTGCCATGGAGGTACAATTTAATGAGGGCAGCGTGTATGGAAGCGATTGTTAGGTATTAACAATAAAACAATAAAATAATAAAATTATAAGAGAGATGGAAGTAGAACGGAAACATAAGACGAGAGGGATAATAGGATTATTTATTAATTATGTATACACTATACAGTCATCTACCACCAGTTGTTCAATTTTCATAAACTTTCCCACAGTAAACCAAAATAGAGAAAAACCTTAAACCCCTCTGAGGGAAATAAGTACTGTTTTTTGCCGTTGATATTTCTATACTTAAAATATTACACTCAAGCAAGCTCAGAGTAACTGAGTGTCATGCTTTTTAGTCAAAACAATGTAAACAAAAACGAAATTTAAAAAAAACACATGTTTGTAAGGCGGCCCAATTGTTTGATCGCTTCACATCAGATAAGCCAAACAAAATATTAACAGTCTTATGATTCACCATCAAATTTTAAAAAATATGTTTACTTTATAGCTTTATAAATTATGCATATTAATTGTTATAATATTGGCTGTATGCAAACTGCGCAAAAATGACCCTTTTTTCTATATGCTGATATTATGTAAACTGCGGCAAAAATGATAAGATACATTCTACAAACTGCGACATTTTATTTTATTTACCTACTTTATAATATACTATACTTATATACCCTGCCCTACTTATACATACCAATACAATAATATATACTTGTAAAGGTACAGAAATCATAATATATAGGTGCTATACTGGATGTTCAAGTTGACACATAAATCAAAATTAGAAGTGCAGAAGAAGGTGTAATACAATAACAACGCAAAAATACAAATTTATTAACGTAAAATGACGAAAAAAAGAAAGATAAACCGATTTCCAGGTACGAATTTTTGAAAAAAGTATGTTTTAAGAATAAACAACAAAATATTAAATAAATTCAATTAAATATAAACAATAATTGTATTACTATTTCAATTTTTAATTTTCTTAGACAGTATAATCCTATTAGATGTACAATAATTTTTAATGTTAGTTAAATAACAATATTTTTCAATTCCATATTTTTAAATTATTTTTAAATTTTAATTTTTACATCTTTACTTCTATTGACTATGTGCACACCATAGACCTATAATAATACATGTTACGAGATAGCATTCTTATCGGTATTCGGTATGTATACATTCTATAGTAGCCAGTAGGTATATAAAATAGATTGTCGCAGTTTGTATAATGTTTACATTTTTTTTGCCGCAGTTTACATATTAGTTATAGAAAAAGGGTCATTTTGGCGCAGTGTACCATCTCCTATAATATTCTCTGTATGGCATTAGTATTAGGGTATGTTTTATAAATATATATATATATCTTTCCTATTATCTTTAATCTCATCTCAGGTTGTATACAGTATTTTAGCTCAAACTAAAAATAGTTAATTATTTTGTTTTGCATAATAAACTTTTCTCAATTGCATTTAATCAAGTTTACCCTGAAAAAGACTAAGAAAGCTTTACAAGCCGTTTAAAGACTAGTCCGGAAAGCAAGTCTTTAATACCAAAAATCTGTACAACTTAAAGAGTTGTCTAGAAACTACCCTCCTCCTAAATGTAATAATATTATCTATTATTGTATTAATTTGACTTCTTTATGAAATGTATCACATGTTTTGTGTTATATTGTCGTATATACTTATTGTGATTTAATTTGTACAGATTGTATATTTTTTCAATAAAAAAAAATTATTTTATTAACTATATGTGTTTATCAATAGTAGTGTGTTAATCTATTAATTTATTAGTGTTGTGATTTATTTAAATACCTAAATTCTACTCTTATATACCTAGTTTATATATCGCAACAGTTAATCTATACTATTTGGCTCTAGACTGTTTTATTCGATTAAATAAACTATATTTTAGTTAATCTTGTTATGTCGATAACGTTACACTTTTGTTTTTAATGTAAGGAAAAATATGGTAACTCTAAGAAAATAAATACACAAAATGTCAATTTGCTTTCACTAAATTATTTGATTTATTAAAATTATTACATTAATATGTTACGATTACATTAGTCAGAAAGAGTAATACAAGATGATTCAGATAGCTGATCACTAGAAGATGTTTTGTGTGACTGATAAGAGCTACAAGTATCAGATGATTCTGAAGATTCTATATCAGTGGAAATTCCAGTAGATGATTCTTCAAGTTGCGCTAGTTTTTTAATTTTAGACATCATATATTCAGCTACATCTATTAAAGGGACATTACAATCGCGACTAATTGCACTCACTAGATCGAAAAATAATCCTTCATTGATTCTGTCTGAAAATCAAATACAACGTATATTAATTGAAGAATATTTGTATAATTTTAAGTATTAAAAAAAAAATGTTTGTTGTGCAAATAAATACAAAAATTGCATTTTCTCTACTAGACTTCGCCCATCATTAGTAATTACTTCTTTTAAGTTCTATATTACATTTAAAAACAATAATTATTGTTCACGCTACTTTTCATGTGCTTAAATCAAATTTTGAAGAACCAAAGAGTTTTGTACAAACAAATAATTCACTTATTTAAAAATAGTGGTATAAAAATACATAGAAATATAGAATAAATCAAGCACAGTATATTCCAATCATAGATTAAATCGCCAAAGTTTTAACTAGTACAGTAAAATATAATATTGATTTTATAACAACTAAAGTTCGAACTTTTTTTTACTAAAGTAAGTAGTAAGTATATAGTTCTCAGTTAATATTATAACTAAAATTCCTTATATTAAATGAGACTGTAAAAAAACATATAATTATAATATTTATTGACATAAGTGTTAAATTATTTGTGTTTCTTCAAATATTATTAAGATAGAAATTAAACTGTAAAAGGTCTGCGTCGAGATAGAATGTAATAACGCGATTGGTAAATTTTAAATCCACCAGAAAAAATAATTTTTTAGATTTAGGCAATGAAATTTCATTTAAAAAACGTAGTTCCGAACAAAAATGTATTATTTTACCAACACATTGTGCTCGCTTATAGTGGAATAAAATACACATAATAACAAAATTAGAGAATCTAAAATTATAACACTTATACGAAATTTTTAGTGAAATTTATAGATTAAATTAGTTAGTTACCTTCAAAACGTCTTGCATGTGGATTGTTTAAGAAGTAACGGCCTATAGCTTCTTTAGTTTTAGCATCGTCACCGATAATCAATAAAAAGTGTGCCTTTGAAAGACCAAATGAAGGGTTAAAAAGTTTCACAGCCTCCGTAAAAGCTTCTAATACAGCCTAAAAAATGTTTTTTACATAAAAAAATGATTATAAAAACTGAATTTTGTTAGGTTAATCACATCTAGAAGAATATATATAAACTTAGGTTTAAAATTTTGTGGTTACATCCGTTTCTTTAGTTTTATGCTGACTCAGAAATTTGCAGGTATTAACTTAAGAACTATATTGACTATAATATTCTAACTGCACGGTCATACTGACAGACGACAGTGAGTACCGCTCCGAAGATGGATCCTGCGATGGTTCCGAAAAGTCAGCACAAAACTAAAGACAACCGAAAAAATACAAAATTTTTAAAAATAATGATCATTTAACAATAAGCATATACTCTATGTTTAAATCTTTTAACACCCTACACAACAAACCCTATAGAAGTTACTCTAAGCATATCTGTGATCCTCTTCCAGTGTTAGGAAAATAACCGTTCACCATATTTTGTTTATCATAATTAGAAATACTTTGTTAAGGATTACGAATCTTATCAATTATTATAACACTTAATTAATAGTAACAGCCAAAATTTAATGCCGGCTGTAGACAAAATGAATTAATTAATATATGATAAACACCATACTTTTTTTTTTTAATGTACTTCTAAATGTCTATAAACTTAAATAATCTTTAATTAACATTTATGTAACCCGACATAATGGTGTCAGTGTCAAGTCTAAAAAATACTTGAACTTTAAATTACTTTATCTTCCGCAAGTAATTTGATTCCACAGTTAACAAATGACATGCATGTTAAAGCAATTATTAATTTAAAAAACATCTTCACGTATAAATTTAGTGATAAAGTTTTTTAGTAAATTAAAAATGTTATCCAGATCGACAATACGAATATCTCTCTTACGCTGTATCATAACTAGTTATATAGTGGTAAAAAAATCTAAAATTGTTATACAAATAATAATTGTTTATTAACTTTATGTTGTAATTTATTGCATTAATCACCAAATAATATTTTTCTATGAAACACTTAAATAAACGAAAGAATAAGAAGTGCTTTTATATTTTAATAAGCCCGGCCGGCATTTTTTTTATAATGATGTGTTAGTACATATTTTTTTATTATGAGAAAAATATACAATCTGTAAAGTTAAAGAATTAGTAAAATAAGCATATTATGGTATTACAATAAGAAAGATATTCTATTATTCTTGACAAAAAAATTGTTTTGGTTGATTCGTTAGACCCTAAGCTTTTGGAATATATTATTTAGATTGCGTGTATAACTTTACACTTGATAAAAAAAAACACACTATTCAATAGCGTATACGTGTATTTCAGTAGCAATGCTATTATTATAATACATCAGAAAACATTAGACTTAGAGTATAATAAATTCACTCACGCATACTTATATTATTAAATAAGCTGGGAAGTGGACATATTATTTTTAATTACTTAGATGAAATTTTCTTAAGTTTTGTCTTTAGATAAATATTGAAAATATCCGATTAAAGTTTTAACTTGCTAAAAGTTGCTTTAATTAAATATTCTGAACATTTACAAGAAGCATTTTCCACTTCTACACAATCAGAAGGAACATAGTTTTCTTAAAAAAACTATGTTATTTAATTTAATTTAAATCAATCTGTAATTTCGTCTACTAACTAATCCTTACTGTACTTATATTGTAAACAAATTACCTTACATTAGTACAGTGTGTGTAAGTTATAGTCAATGGCTCAGCGGTCATCATTTAAAAATATCAAATAAGGAAGTTATAGCGTGTTAATTTTTATACTTGAAAAATTACAATACTCACTTCTTTTTTTTTAACAAAAAGTTAGTATACCCATTTTCATCCAGTCTGTCGTAGGACTAGTAGTAATAATAATAAGCCGTGCCATTGTTAGTTTTATCCCAACAAAAACGCTCGTTAACTCTGCTAAATGGTCGCTAGGTAAAAAAAAAAGGGTTTCAACATAAGCCTTAAATACGTGGTATAATATTATAGGAACTAAGTAATAATATACTAAGCATATAATATATGTATTTCTACATCGTTGTCAATAAATAAAATCTATCTATATATTAAACCAGTCATGAAAAAGTCGAAATTTAGTTTACATGGCCAGTCTGTTTTCCTACTTCCGACCTAGTAAATATATGATAATATATTATTAATATATGAATTATGATAATACATTTTGTGTAATAAAAAAAAAAACTTGTAATACCATTGATTTTTTAAACTTTTATTGAAGTTAAAGCTTTATGTCTGTATAACCTCTAAACGTTATTGTTGATTAGTAACATAATAATAAGAATACCTAAATCTGTGAGTCTGGGTGTCATTCTCCCTTAGGCCCGCTTTAATAGAGGAAGGGAGGGGGGCACGCAAAATCTATTCTCTATCTCACGAAAGAACGGTACTGCGCATAATTCAAAACGCATTACTCCAGTATGTACAAAATAAAGTGAACAGGAGTAACGTTTTTTGGTTCTGTGCAGTACCGTTCTTCCATGAGACAGAGTATACATGTTGGTGTATTAGATAACTAAGTGTATATTTGCGCCCTTTAGTAATGTTTTAATACATTTTTATCGTTCGCTGTATAACATTACTGTTAAGAAGTGCAGTGATGCTTTACTGTTTACTGTATTAACTGTTAAATATGTCCAAACAGAAGCGTTTAATTTAAAACCTGTTACAGGGGGTTGGATGTTTTTAAGAATCGCTTGAATTCGATTTTATGAACATTTTTCAATTTTGTATACTAATTATTAATACTTTTTTAAGAGCGTAATAACAATTTTCGTTATTTTACTTTATTTTGTCAAAAAACCTACAATGATTAATGATTATATTTTATTACTCTGTACTCATAGTCCGTTTTACCGCTGGCACGTGTATAGAGTTTTTAAATTTAAACTTAATAACTAAACTAGAAACACCTGCATAATATACTTATAAATAGTATATTAAACAGTAATTAATAATGCAATTTATTATATTACTCATTTCTAAATTAATAGGTGGCTCATGTCTGTAATTTTTAAATTAAAATTATTAAAAAATCAGCTGAATATAATACGAAGATTTTACGTTAAATATAGTTTGTAGACATATTAATATTGAAATCAATATTTGCTATACAATACAATATATTATATTTTCTTGTATTTCAGATTTATTATAAAAACGAAAATTTGTATACTTGTATACTAATTATAAATACTTAATAATTATACTCAATAATTTTACTATGAGATTTTATATTTTCAATTCCCAGTTTTTGCTTTTATCATAAAAAAAAACAGCTTTAATAATATTAAATTTATTTCATTACACATAGTTTGTTTTAATCACCGGCACGTGTCGGTAATTTTTTAATAACACTTGAATGTACAGAGACAATAGTATGCTTGTTTGGCATAATAATTTGTCAAATTCTACAGTTTTCAATAGACCCCTAGCTATAAGACATAGTTATGTCAAAAGGTAAAACCCAGGTGGTCAATAGACGCCACTCTTCCAATATAATATCCCTTGGTGATTTTCATAAGCGAGAACAGCAATACACGTGTATTTGGCAATTTTGTTTCAAATGCTAAACACTCAATCATTAAATTATAATTATAATTTAGAACACCGCGAAACCGCAGAAAACTATGTCGGGCTAAGTTAAAATCACAATAATGATTTGAATAGTAGGAAATATAACTAAAAGTGTCCATATGAAAGGACCTTTCAATTTGTTATTAGTAAATATCACAATACCCTAGCTCCTCTTTGATAGATGAAGAATACATAAAATAATACATATTATACATATGTCCTATTATAATAAACAATAACAGCGGTTGACTAAAATGGTTTTAGTTAGTCATTTATTGTAATTTCGAAAAAGATCCAGTACGAAAAATTAAGTTTAAGGTCTTAGATTCGTTCTAACGTGAACAGGTTTAAATAAATATTTTATAATTTTTAATTATTTATATTTATATAATACTAATACGTTTAATACCATCTTCCCGCATGAGTTTCTAGTTCTTACAAAGATGTGGTTACACAATCCTTTAAAGATGGTGAATTAGGATTTAATCAGTATAACCTTTAAGATGTGATAGAAATGATCAAAACAGTTAGTCGTAGAAAAGGTATTCTTGTCGTTATTATAAAAACATTTAATTCTCAACTTCTGAACGTTGACATATGAGTATAGGACACATTTTTATTAGAGTTTTAGATATGTATCAGGTAGAAATTAGAATCGTAGCAAATACAAAAACAGTTTGGAAATGGGTAATTACCGTTATATTTCTATCTCTTACACAGTAAAATTATAATATAACTTGTTTTTATATTATAAAACAAAATCCAGTTTTAAGGGTTATGGATTTTTTAATAAATGATCAGCCAAAATTGATTTTTTTTATTTCTCTATTATATGAGTATTACATTTACACTTGAGTAATATTATATATGAACGAGTATACAAAAATTATTATTATCTCGTTTTTACCAAAAAATTGTTAATAATGGCCCCTTTGATATTCCTTATCTTATAAATTGTTCCTCTTTTAAGTCCCTTTGTATGATAACTGTTATATTTTAATGTGCTACATACCACCACACAACACACATAATAAAAGGCATCTCAATTTCAAAAGCTGTGACTTTGTGTAAAAAAACGATCATCTAATGTCAATTTTTCATTTATCCGGTAGATATGACAATGAAGTAATATGATAGAAAAAATAGTAGGTATAGAAAAGTATTGTATTTTATTTACCTTAATAAATATTATTTATTTGGTTAATCTATGTATAGTTCAATTTCTAAGCTTGTTAATCTGTACTATTCGGATCTAGCCTGTTTTATTCAATTAAATAAACTTTATTATTGTTACTATTGTGATATTTTTGATAATGCTACTGCTTGATAATAGTAATAATTATTAGTTTTATTATCATTATATAAGAAGGCAGATTACTAAAAGACAATTCAGCTGGATTATTACTAGCAGTTGATTCAGTTAGTTCAATTGTTTTTTTAATACTGCATATTTTTCATGTTCCACTGCCTATTTTTTCAGCTTGCTCTAATTTTTTAATTTGAACCATCATATATTCAGCTAATTGCAATAAAGGAATTTTACAATCACGCCTTCGCTAGTTAAAAAAACATTCCTTCATTTATTTTGTCTAAAAAACAAATAAAACGTATTTTAATATAAGAATATTTGTGCTAATTTAAAATTGTTTAAGTATGGGATAAAATAAAATTATACAAACATTTTACTCAATCTACTTAGATTTTGAACATAATTATTATTTACTTTCTATATCGTATGTATGATTATATTATGAATCGTACATTGGTAATTTTAAAAAAACGATAGTAGTCTGTAGATATTTTTAATTGTCGTTCAAAACATTAAATTGATAATGTCATAGGTTAACTATAGGTAATGTTATAGTAAAAGTAAATATGTATTTGATAAATGATGACAAAATTTTCTCTACTACTCAACAAAAAATAAATTATTCAGCAATGCTATTCGTCAAAAATGTATTTAGAATCAATTACCTAAATGTAAAAAAACGTCTCTTATTCAAATTTAAAGATTAAATTAATTGGTTACTTAATTGTCGAATTGCATGTGGATTGTTCTTGAAGTGGCGGTAAATACCAAGTCTAGTATCAATGGGAACATCGTCATCATCGTCACTATCTTCATCTTCATCGAAAATCGTTAAAAATTGTTGGCTCGTAAGACCAAACGGTGGTTTAAAATGATTCATAGCCATACCGTAAGCATCTAGTATAGCCTAAACATATTTTTCACATGAAATATTAATTATGAAAATTGAATTTTGTTGCGGGAGAAATAAATATAATAAATGCACCTCATATGAACTTAATAGAAGTTATATTATGTTGAGCAATACATTTTTAAACGGTTTTCAAAAGACGGTTGTTAAACAAAAAGTGTTAAAATATATTACTAATTAGGATAATAAACAGTTTGTTATTGTTGTAGCAGCAAAATTGGGCAAAATGGAATTAAAAAAACGAAAAATCAGTAATACGAATCGAACACCCTAGTATTAATTTAATTTAATTATTATATATTTATATTTTATTATTTTCAAATATCATTATTTAAATGCTTTGTGTTCATGTATACAACCATTAAAATACAAAATAATACGAAAGCATCATCCAGTTTATGGAGAGGTAAGTTTAAAGAGGCGTAAGGAGGAGTATTATAGTGCGAATGGATTAGTTATAAGATATTAGAGATACTAGATTTAAAGACATATCCATGTATTGATGTATCTGCATAAAGTGTGGATACTCTTCACTTTTTTTTTTTACAAATAAAGACTAAAACTCGAAGTCACTTTCTAAAGTGTCTACCGAACAGATTTCAACATTTTTGTTTGTGTTTTAGTTTAACATCTTTTGTATGGGGGATATAAGACCGATTTTTTATTTTTGTTTTCAAAAAAACTGTATAAGCATTTTATATTTTTACGTTTTTGTACATTTTTCTAATAAATCTAATTAATTTTCTAATTTCCAAATAAAAAATCCGGCCTATTAGCTTTTTTTATCAAACTTTCGCCAAAACTCGAAGAAAAAAAACTTTTAAGGTATTATAACTAGAAAAACTTAATAGTTTTTCACATTAAAATTAGTCGGCATATTAAAAATGACTACTAGATCAAATTTTGTAAATTATTGCCTATCCTTTACCCCTTAATAAATAGCGCTTTACGTTTCCCTTAAATGTTTTAACATCCTTAAAAACAAGTTATAGAAATTACTTTAAAAATTTTTTCTAGTGTTAGAAAAAATATTACTCAACATTTTTTTGATAATAATCAGAGAAACTAGTTACGGATCAACGAAGTTAAACAATTATAACAAGTGATTTATACAAACAGTCGTTATATGGAAAAAAACGAATGCTGACTGCACAAAAAAATTAATTAATTGAACCACGACTTTTTTAATGAATCAATTAATGCCCATAGATTTAAATAAAATAGCTTTAATTGTCTTTATTGTCGTCCAGTAGCATGGTTTCAGTATTAGCTCTAAAAAATATATGAAATTTATTTAAACTTATAGTTACTTGATCCTCCTGTTCTAATTTATATTTTACATAGTTAACAACTATAGTTGTTAGAAGAATAGTTTCTTAAGCACTGGTTAAGTTATTTTGACTTTTTGGTAATGCAGCACAGAGGTACAACGACTTTCTTGTAAAATTAGCAGGGCTTTTCAAAAATATTTCTCAAGATAAATTGTGTAAGTTCGCGGAGATTGCCGTAAAAGTGATCATAGCAACACTCGAGGATTGCAGAGACCGACGCTTAGATGTTCAGAACAATACTTGGTGTTTGTGAGGATCACAGGCGGATTTTAAGAGATAATCAAGCTGTCGCTCAGACAAACTTTAATAGTGCTGACACACAAAATATTCACCGTAATGTCCAAAATGTAAAAAGTGGGCAAACTAAAAGAAAATACATAATTCATTAATTGTATGTATATTATATACATACAATTACAACAATACATAATATTTAATATTATAATAAATAAATACAGTGGTTAACTAAAATGGTATACTTCAGTAATTTTGTATACATTTTAAAAAGATCCAGTACAAAAAAAAAAATTGTAAATACTTTTAAATCAATTTTTATACATTTCAATTGTAAATCTTATCATCTCATCTTTTCCACACGATTTTTTAGTTCTTACAGAGACGTTGTTAAACAACCTCTTTTTGAGATGATGAATTAACATTTACTCAGACGTGACTTTTAGACTTGATAGACATGATAAATCTAGTTTACTTATTCATGGAGAAGGAAATCTTGTCGTTATTAAAAAATACATTAAATTTTTAACTTCTGAACATTGACATAAAAATGTTGACAAATTATTATATTTTTTTTTAACAATTTCGCAACCAACAATTTGTATTTATTTTCTTTTATTTATATGTAAATCAATAGTTACATTGTTAATCTTTAGCTATTTAATTGAATTATTAAGTATTATTAATGATTAATTAATAATTATTATGTTTTTGACAATGTTATCATTTTAGTTTGAAAGTTAAAGAAAAAACTATGCCTAAAAAAATACAATTGATGTCGATTTGGTTTTACTGCAATATTTGATTTATTAGAACATTTGTAATATTTAATATAAAGTGTTACGAATTACAATAATAATAATAATTTTTTTTATTATCATTGTTTAGACGGCCGATTACTAGAAGATGATTCAGTTGGCTGATTACTAGAAGATGATTCAGTTGGATTATTACTAGCAATTGATTCATTTCGCTCAAAAGTTTTTTTACTACTTGTTGTTCCGTTAGGCGACTTTAGATTTGTAATTTGAATCATCATATATTCAACTAGATGCATTAAAGGAACGCTACAAACGCTACAAATTATTTTAACCAAACCAACAAATATTTCTTCAGTTATATTATCTAAAAAATAAATAAAACGTAATTTAAAAAAAATATATAGTACAAATTATACAAAACTATTACCCACTCTACTTGGACTTTAATAGTTACTCTTTTTAATATTTACATTATTATATTAAATACAAATTTCATGGTACTTTTTTATGTGTTTAAACAAAACTTTTATAAACCGAACAGTTTTGTACAAACAAATCATTTTTGTCTATTTAATTTTTTAATTCGTATTATCTGTGTGGGATATTCTTTAGATTTATTACTATCGATACACATTGATCAACCAAAAAATAATAATATTAAACCATTTAAAGAAGAACATTTTTCTTTATTATTGTGAAAACATAAGTTCTGAAAACTAGACCGTATTTATGTTTATAACATATTCAAAATTTAAATTCTTGAACCACTATGCTAATTTATAATTGAGAATGCTTTATACTTTACTAGTTTTTTTTAAACATTTTTTATAATTTTTTTTTGTTTGCCAAATATATATAACCAAACAAAAAATTGTATTGGTTTAAGACTGAGGTCATTAAACCAAGGGACACAAGGGATAATATGTCTAATAAAACAATGCCACAAAGAAAAGTTGGGAGGAAGATCATTTAGGCTGTTGCACTCTTAAAATATTTTTTTTTTTGCAGAGCTGAAAAATGTCTGAATTAGGGATGAGAAGTCCATGTGAATTAAGGAAGGAGATTGTTGAAGTAGCAATGGATCAGCAGTTTCATTGATAATGATATCAGAGTGACTTAAGACAAAAAAAAAATTACACTACTTAACAGAACCGCAAATACGGAACAAGAGTGAACTAATATTAAAAATAAGGGGAGATATTTTAGAACCCAGATGATTGAAGAATAGAGCAAGAAGGCTTGAGAATCAGAGCAAATCAGAAAAACTTCTTTATCAGAAAAGGAAATAAAAAGAAGGTAAGCTATTATGGATTTAGAAATAATACTTTAGATTTAGGCAAGGAAATGTTGTTGATACAAAAAAAAAAAAAAATATGAGCATACTGAGACCCTTGAGATACTTTCAAAAGCCCTTAGTACAGTTCTGGACAAAAAATGTTAATTAAACCAAATAGTGCTTGATAATAGTGAAATATATATATATAAGCACGAAATCAGCGAATCGTAAACAAGCAACTAAAAATATAACACTATTACGGATTCCTACTAAAATTACCCCTTAAATGTTTTGCTTGTGGAGTTATCTCGAAGTAAAATTTAATAGTGTCTAGAGTGTCCTCATCGTCACCAACAATCAGTAAAAATTCGTTCATCTTAAGACCAGATGTTTGATTAAAATGTTCCATAGCCTCCTTGAAAACTTGGAGTACAGCCTAAAAAATGATTTTTGAAAAATTAATTTTAAAATTTAGATTTTTACAAAAAAGCTATTTTATTCATTTAAAAATTGTATACATACAAATTAGAATTCAAGTAAAATGTATGTATTGAAATTTTCATCAAACATTTTTTTCTTGAACGGAAAACACCCAAGACAAGAAATCTTATAGAAGTTACTCTAAACATAGTGCCATTGTCTTCTAGAGCTAGATAAATGATCATTTAACTATCCGATTTTTTTTAAAAATAATAATTGGAAATACTTAGTTGTGGATTAACGAATTTTATCAACTGCCGTGTACACCTTACTATTTTTGATGAAACTACTAAATGAGCACAAATTTAAATAAATCCATAACGAACATCTTTGTGATCCGTCATATTGGTTTCAGTATTAAATTTAAATAATATATATATCTATTACTTAAACATTTAATTACTTCATCCTCCTGTTCGGATTTTTCCTTTGTACAATTAAATATTGACCAACATGTTAAAAAAATAATTAGTTTAAAAAACATTTTAACGTATAAGATTAATTATAGGCTTTTTTAGTTAATATGAGTTTTTATTCTGAGCTACAAAATGAATATCTCTTACGTTTTATAGTAGCAGTAAACGTTATACTGTGTTAATTTATTGATCTTTGTTCAAATGACAATTCGCAATAAAAAAACACTCGAGTAAACTTAAACAATTACATTTTTGCAAATTTGTCTTTGACAAAATATGCATACTTTTTTGTACCATTCAATTTTTATGGACTAATATTTTAAATATTTATAGATTGATCATTTAACTTTACCCTTTGGACGTAAATATCCGAGAAATTAAAAATACTAATATGTGAATTATATGGTATAAATAACAATGAATAATATAATATTATTACAAAATATCCTTCACTTCAAAAAAAAAAAAATAAACTTTTTAACATAAGTGTATGCGTGTATTTCGGTAGCAATGCTGTCATCATCATTCATCAGCTTTCATAGATTTTTGCGATTCCAATCTTATCATATTTGAATGCCCAGCCCAGCATAGAACTACACTTCTCAGAGACCAACTCCCCCATAACATTACCTAAAATTCTACCGCCTCTTTAATTCAAACAAAAACGCCTTTTACAATAATCTTCGTTGTTACCTTTATTTTTCCAACTGGATTTATAATTTAGCAATTATTTCTAATATTTTTTTATTAATTTTAATAATTTCAAATACGATATATTATGTAATTCGTATTTATTTATTTTTTGACTTTACGTTTTGCGTTGTTTGATCTGCTTCTTTTTCTTTAATTTGTACTCTTAAATTGTTATTACTTTATCTTAATTACTGAAATATAATATTTTACAATAAAAGCTAACTCCCAAAAATGATTAATTATATTATTATTTTTTATTACAACGTTTTTTAATTGATGACTAAGAGCGTAGTTTTAAAATTTAAACTTACTAATTTAACTTAAAAACACCTGAATATACATAGACGATACGTTAAACATAATTTTGAGAAAAAAAACACAATTCAATTTTTTGTAGGTACATAACTATATTTATATTATATGTGCAACATTACGGTTGTTAAAAATAATGTATTGTTTACATAAAAATGTTAACTATATATTATATTATTAAATATATTAAATTAGACAGAAAATAGATCTAGAGTAGTGCTATATCATTTTCAGCATTCTCAAAAACCTGTAGTCAATTAAGAGAAAATATTAAACAGAGAATATGTATATATATTCACGATTTCTGAGAATCATGTACCGACAAGAATTCTAAGAATTTTACTTTATATGTATTAATTTATTGGAATTATTTAATTATTTTAATCAACAAATAAAAATAATATAATAAAGTTGAAAACATGTATACAGAATTTCACTCATGAAACTTATATAAAAAATACTATATTATGAACTAAACGATAAAATTATCAGCAAAAACACCAAAAAAAATTGTTTTTAATTATTTTTTATGTTTGTAATAAATAATTTAATCGCTTATTTATTAGTAGTACATATCTAAATCGGGTTAACACTTGACTCCTTTGATATATAAAATGAAAAGAAACATTTTAAAACCACTAGTATATATTTTACATTTTCTTTATATTTAAGACATAAAATCGGATCACCTGACTTACCAGAACTTTGTGTATTAGACTGAGCTAAAACATAAAAATAAATAAGTATGATACATATACATAAGACAAAGAACTATTATATTTTTATTATATTATAATTATTATATTATATTTTACTACTCAAAAAAATAATTACAGAATACATTTTTACCCTTAAAAGTACTTGATAACTTGCACTGGCTCTTTATATCTCTTCCTTTTTCTCACTATCTAGTATCTACTGAGATGCTTGAAACAGTGACTCTCTGACGCTAACACTCTCGGTCAGTACATCATTGTTGCCAGGTTTGGGGATTTTTGGGGGTTTTGGAGAAATCTGGGGAGTTTTTTTTTATCTGGCTAAATTTTTTAAGTGTTTTGTTGTGGGTGAAAACGTTTCTTATCACCGTCCATGACACACACACATATATATTATATATTTATTGGTTTTAGTTTCCATAGATAAGGAGTTGTACGCCAGAATAGGGGAGATAAAATGTACTAGTGCCTCTCAAAATAAGATGAATTATCAAAAAGCGTATTTTCGCGGTGGTACCGAAAGGAATAATGATAACTGATAATGTTTAGATTAATAGGAATTGTTTGTTTACCGCTAAAATGATTTTTCATTATCATAAGTACCAACCAATACAAACTGCTAGTAAAGCTGTTTACTGATAAGAGCAAACATTTTATTTAACAGTAAATAGGTAGTTTTGACATTAAAATATCGCAAAAGCGGTTATCCACAAACCGTTTGCTTTCGGTACCTTCGCGAAAATACGCAAATTGTTCATTCCTATGTGATAAACTCCCTTGGCCTATCCATCCTTTTATTATCAATAGTAGTTTCAGGCGAGTTTCTTATCAGTTAACTACATCCTGATCATAATATCACAGATATACATAAGAAACTAGATTGCTTACTTGGCCAAAATTAACCGAAATTTTGAGGGAGATTTAAGAGCTTTTAAACAGACTGACTTTCCTATATGGGAGGGGGTGAGGGGCGGGGCAATGGTAACTCAGTAAACAAAAAACACAAGTGCCTTTTTCAAGTTGCCCACAAGATAGACAAAATATGGTAGGTACAACCATTGATGCTGTTTTTCCAGATATTTTAACAAAATTGAGTAAAAAATATACGTATCATATTTTAGTCATCATAAATCAATAATTTCTATGATAGAATGCGAGATTTAGTAATATATAATAATATACATATGATAAAAAGATTTTATATCAATCACTTTTTATAAATTAATCGAATACAACCATATGATATCTGAACTTCATTACTACCGAGGGTCCCGTGACCCACTCAGTTTTTTTTGTTTGTACAAATTTTAATATTTAGCACATTTAATGTCCGAAATTCGTCAATAACTTATGCAATACAAATTTTAATACAAAAAGTTAAAAAGAAAAATATATAAATTCATAATTTTAGAAAACCATGTGCATTCAAGAATTCTAAAAATGTTGATATATTTTTTTTTATGTTATATATAAGTCATTAAAATCTAATCACCAAATAAAAATGGTATAATATTTTTAAAACTTACCTGAGGTAAGAGCCTGATGAAAAAAAATCATCTGAAACATTGTAAATAAGTATGAATAATATATAATATATGTATGTATATAAACAGTGTGATTTTTTTATCATGAACTACTCAATATATCATAGGGTGTAATAAGAAATTAAAATGTTGTTTTTTCATATTGTTTTCATACAATGTGATCTTAATTTTTCACTATTTTTTATGTTTCAATCCCCTCCTTACTTAGTTTTTTTGATAGCAACTTTTGAAACTTAAATGGTAACATATACATTTTATTAATTTTTTAAGTTGAGAATAATGTACTAAAAATTTTGACTGGTCGATAACCAGTTTCGGATAACTATTTTTGAAGTTATTAAAGTTTCAAGTTTAGGACAGGAGGAAAGGTGGAGTGTAGTATTATTTTTATCTGCGCGCATTTCCTAATCGCACTTCACCTTCGATCCTAACTTTAACACTCTTATAACTTTAAAAATAGTTATCTGAAACTGGTTATTAAAATATTTAGTCAACATTTTTAGTACATTATTCTCAATTTAAAAAGTTAATAAAATATATACGTTACCATTTCAAAAGTTGCTATCAAAAAAACTAAGTTGGGAGGGGAATGAAAACATAAAAAATTGTGAAAAATTAAGATCACATTGTATAAAAACAATATAAAAAAACAACATTTTAATTTCTTATTAAACCCTATGAGATATTGAGTGGTTCATGATAAAAAAATCACCCTGTATGTATATTTATATATATAGATATATAACTTACTGTAATGTGGTGTTTGAGACTGATCTAAAACATTGAAAAAAATATATAAATATAACATGGATTATTACTTTTTGCACTATTTTTTTTTTTTTTTTTGTAGACATTTAAATATTTTGATGAGGAACCTTGTTACATAAATGGAGTATATCTGCTATCGGGGCAAGTATGCAAAAAGGCGACTCATATGGAATGTGTAACAAATTATTTTAGAGAATCAGTTGATTTCAAAAATTCTAATATCAATGACCTAACTACGAAAATTTACTCCTGGACTACAAAACACGTTTAACCTTAATTTCTGGATGACTCGCGTATTTCCATGATCAAAATGATCTCAGAAATTTACATACATTAAATTCATATAATTTGCAGTGGTACGTTTAATTACCCAACTTTCATTTATGTATTTTATTTTTATACTACTAAAAAAGGTCTCGACCACAGATAGTTGAGACGGATTAGAGGGTTGCAAGTTATATGATATACACATAAGTGTTTAGAGTATGGTACAGTTCTTTAACATTAATTATGTAAAGTTTGGCGGCTTTGAAAATTTCAGTATGATATTAAGCGTTAGCTAATTTAATTAATTCATTTATTTATTACTAGCACTTCCTTTATAATTTGAATTAACACTTATATCCTTAAGCATTAAAAAGACAAAACAAACATTTTAGGGCATTAATTTTTTCTTAATATTTAAGTCATTTGAATGCGATCGCCAAATAAAAATAGTACAATGTTATTTAACTCACTAGTAGTTGTTGAATGCGTAGCTGTAACATGGTTAAAAAAATATGTATTATAATTATATACAGAATGATCCATTTTGGGTATGACACTCAATTTCTGAGAACACATTAATATTTTCGAAAAAAAATGTTCCTATATTTTTAGGTGTACATTGTACTGGATTTTACAATAATTTTAAAATTCTATCACCAAACCATAAAAGAAAAAAGAGGGTTATATGATTTTTTTTTAAATGGCATTAAATGTTTTTAATTCCATAAATTCGTAGACAAAAAATAAAAAAATATGTTAGCGTTTAAATTTTTAATTTCCATCTGTTCATTTGTTATGACTTTGTAATGATATTACATTTTTCCTTAAGAGGACGTCACATCGCCCATTTTTAAGGAGTTTTGTATAGGCAAAAAGTGGTTTAAATAAATTTCGACCATGTTAATTAATTTACCGGTTAATTTGTATAAGCTTCATGGTATTATTTTTAATTTAAATCAGTTTGTCTATGAGTAAAAGCCATTTTAGTTAATATAATAGTACATTTTTGTTCGCACATTTTCGCACAGGCCGAACCAGTGATCTAATTAGTAATCTGAAAAAATATTTTAATTTGTTATGAATTTTACTTGGAATTCTACGAGGTACTTTTTTGATACCTTTTTCTTGCTATAAATAAGAAACGTTTGAACATTTTATACAATTTTAAATTTTAAAATCAAATTTCTAAAGGTTTATAATTCAAAATTGAAAAAAATGCCTCCGTAGGATCTCAAGTAAACTTCATGACAAATTCAAATCTGTTTTCAAATTACTTATCGGATTACTGGTTCGGCCTGTGCGATGGACAAAAATGATGTGTTTTAAATGAAAAAAACCGCCGGTATCGAATCCCCTTAATAATTTTAATATTTTTCGGTTTTCGAATACCAGTAAACTATAAAATTATTATTTATAATAACTTTGTCCGATTGGCAATAACACTATAACACGGTAAAAAAACCTCAACTCCAAAAAATCTAAACAAGAAAATAAATTCATGATATCAGAATATCTTGTGTTTTCAAGAATTATAAGAGTTTGTACTTATTTTTTCTTTATATTTAAGTCACTGGAATCCGATCGCCAAATAAAAATAGTACAATAATGTTTAAGACTTACTAGTAGAACCTGAAGATTCATAACCTAAAAACATGGAAAAAATAGGTATAATATAATCTATAAATATGTACATATTAATTTATATACAGGGTGTAATGTCAAGTTCTACCGAGCTTCAAATGAGACATTTGTGATACTCTATTGGTACAGTAAATGATATTCATTTTTTAAAAACTTTTAAATTATTTAAAATTAAACTCGTATGTCATTAAAAAATGGTCTTGCGAAAAAAATAACTTCTTATTTGAAATCGGAGAAAAAATCTTGTCGAATTGATATGTAACACGATTTTTTGATATCTGGCCACACTTGCGTCCACCGAGTGGCCACTGAGTGGCCGGAATGTAACCAAAACGTATGTGGCACATAATTTTGGGTTAGAATTTTACTCTCAATTCTGTAGTGTCCTTAGAATTATTTTATGTTAAATGGTGTGTTGTATGCCATATGTTGGTTTTAGTCACATGCAGAACTTTACATTACACCTTTTATGTACTTCTTATCTTGGCTTTATACTCTCCACTATATAGGGTCGGCTGCCCTAATTCTACACCTCCATAGATCTCCCTGGCATAAACCAAACTGATTCTTCGATACTGTAGTCTCACTTTGTATTCTCTTTTCTATAACCTTCTCCCAAACCTTCATACTATGACTCATCACTTATATGCCTCTATAATTTCCACACTCTTGCACACCTCCCTTGCCCTTAAATATTGATACCAGAAACTTTTCCTCCACAATTCCGGCATTTTCCCGTCTACTAACACCTTGACAAGAAAACCTGTCAAGCACTCAATGCCAAAGTTTTCTAACACCTGCCATACCTCTACTGGTGTCCCTTTCGGTCCTACCGCTTTCTTCTTTTTTATCTTTCTAACCACACTCCACACTTCCTCCTCCCTAATTAAGTCTACTAAACCTAAATTTCATGGTACCAGCTCTAGGGTTTGCATTTACTACCCTATTCCAAATTTCATCTACATTTTCCGTCATGCACCCCCACACTATTTCTGGTACTAGTCTTACCTTAATATATATTATCGTATACCCCTTTCCGATTTCATTTACTTTAACTCCTTTCCATCTAGTTTCCTACACATAACATATATTCACTCTCATACTCTTCAATACTTTTACCAGTCAATGTTCTTACATTTATATGTACCTACTCTCACTTTGCACTATACACCCACCAGTTGGGGTGGTTTCAAACCAGGGACCGTATATACTTTCCCTACACCGTTAACATCACACGCTTTGGGTAGGCCCGTGCACATAACTGGTGTAATGGTTACCACATTCGCTGTCATTTGGTACCATTTGGTATAGAAAATATATTAATGATTTCAGAAAATCATATGACTTCAAGAATTCTAAAAATTTTTATTTATTTTTTCCTTATATCTAAATCATTAGAATCTGATCGCCAAATAAAAATAGTACAATGTAGTTAAAAACTTACCAGAACCTGGTGTAGAAGCCTGATCTGTAAGATTAGAGGGTTACAAGTTATATGGTGTACACATAAGTGTTAAGAGTATGGTACAGTTCTTTAACATTGATTATGTTGAGTTTAGTAGCTTTGAAAATTTTCAGTATGATGTTAGGCGTTAGCTAATTTTATTTATTTATTTATTTATTACTAGCACTACCTTTATAATTTAGATTATATAAATAGGTTAAATAAATATGTATTATAATTAGGTTTATTCAGAGGGATTGATTTTGGGTAAGACACTCCATTTCTCAGAAAACATTAATATTTTCGAAAAAAATTTTCCTTTATTTTTAGGTGTACATTGTACTTTATTTTTCAATAATTTTAAAATGTTTATTACCAAACCATAAAAGAAAAAAAGAGGGTTATATGATTTTTTTTTAAATGGCATTAAATGTTTTTAATTCCATAAATTCGTAGACAAAAAATAAAAAAATATGTAAGCGTTTGAATTTTTAATTTTCATCCATCTGTTCATTTGTTATGACTTTGTTAAGATATTACATTTCCCCTTAATAATTGTCATGTTTTCGAAAACCAGTAGCACATAAACTCATATTTTTGTTCACGTTGATCAATTGGCGATAATACTATAGTAAGGTCAAAAAACCCCAACTCCAAAAAAACTAAACAAGAAAATAAATTCATGATATCAGAGTATTCTGTGTTTTGAAGAATTATAAGAATTTGTAATTATTTTTTCTTTATATTTAAGTCATTGGAACCCAAACACCCAATAATAATAGTACAACATTATATAAGACTTACAAGAACTAGAATAACTTGACGTAGCAGTAGCACCTGAAACATAGAAAATAAATAGTGATGTATAAATAATTAATGTATATTATTTCTCCTATCTTCGCCTTCTGTTCCCAAATACATGGGATCGGCCACCCTCTGATGCTCTTTAACTACTTTCAAATTAGTCGAATTAGTTCAAAATTTGTATGCAATATATTCTTTAAACATAGTACTACTGTTAAAAATTTACAAACTAAAAAACACAACATAAACTCTTCCCTCTAGAAGGGATAGAGAAGTTTTAGAGATTTAGGTCTGAAAATTAGACCTAAGGTAGATTTTAATGAAACTATGACATTATAATTTTCTGAAAAATCAAACTTTATTTTTGTTAAGAAAAAAAGCGAAAACTACACTTCGACCATAGTCAATTCACATGTTGCTAATCCATATGTGAGCGAATCAATAGTCAGCAAGTACTGAAAATATGTTCATTATATTGTTAACTACGATAATTGGGTAACGTACGAGTATATGGGGCAGTGTGGCGCAGTGGACACCTCAGCTGCCGCATAGCACTTGAGGTTAAGCTGTGTCCGTTGCTTAGTTTTATTCTATTCATAATATTTACTTTTATTATTACTTTTTATACTATTTTTTTTTGTATACATTTTAATCTTTTATTCTTTACTCATTTTAATCTTCACTACATTTTATGTCCGATACATAGTCAATAAATTATTCGATAACATATTCAATACAAAAAAACCCGACTCCGAAAAACCTGAGCTGAGAAAATATATTAATGATTTCAGATATGGTGTCTTAAAAATTCTAAGAATTTGTATTTATATTTTCTTTATATTTAAGTCACTGTAATCCGATCGCCAAATAAAAATAGTACAACGTAGTTAAAAACTTACTATAAGCTTGTGCAGAACCTTGTGAAGACTGACCTGAAACATGGCAAATAAATATGTATAATATTGATATATAAATAAATATAAAACAATTGCAATAGAGCATTTGACATTTTTTTTTGAAATTTCTTAGTTTTGTTTCATTTATAGTTTAAACTTTAAACTTATACTATTACTTCTTAAACAATTTTTTTTTACACATTTTTACAATATTTTCTACATTTTATCTTTTATGAAACGCGCTTCTCTGCCATCGACGATTTACCAGGGACCCATATGTAAAGTTTGCTATACATTGTTCATGTTGTGGCGGTGGCAATGTACACGTATGTTTTATAGTACCCTGGTACACATATTAATTATTCAATAAATAATCTTTATCTGTATGACGGTCTTTATGTCGATGACGCGAAATCATAACACAAGTTTCCACGCAAATTTTGGAATGACCCCCGTCCCAAAAACATATCCATATTAAAATGTACATTAAAAATAGTACAACGTACTACAAAACTTACCAGTAGATGTCGAATAAGACTGAGCTGAAACATGGATGGTAAATATGTTTATAGTATTTAAATATATGATATACACATATGAATGTATATAGAACTATTGTGATAGAGCATTTGAATACTTTGTCGATATGTGTTCAATAAAATGTTTAATAAAAAAAAAACCCGACTCCTGAATATCTAAACAGAAAAAATATTATATTCAAGATTTCAGCAAGCCGTCCCTCAAGAGTTCTAATTCTACGAATCCCACAGATTACTATTTTTATATCCTAAGTATATCACGATGATCTGACAAATGTACATTCAATTCATATGATATGTATCGATAGGTCTGTACGTTTTATTACAGATTTTTTTTAAAGTTCATACTGATATTACAATATTACAGTATTACAATATTCATACTAGTGATGTGAACTAAATCCGGATTCTCCAAAAATCCGACAAATCCGGATTCCGGATTTCGGATTTTTAAATCCGAAATCCGAAAATCCGAAATTCGGATTTCAAAATCCGAAAGTCCAAAATTCGGATTTCAAAATCCGAAAATCCGAATTTTTAGTTTTACAATGCTTATTTCTGTTTTTTAAACCTGAAAGTCAAATTTTAGGTTCTTAATTAAATTGAAATAAGTAAATCAAATCATTTTCACTTCTAAAGTCTAAGATACTGTGTTTTTATTTTAAAATGTATTTGTATAATTGATTTATTTAGTGTAGCTATTTCCGATAACGACCGATTATATATATAAAAAATTACAAAAAATATTTTGACGTCGGCTAATCTTGCGCCCTTGTCGTATCGTATGTCTAGAAAATGATTTATTTTGACTATAAAAATCGGTCAATATATATGTATATAATAAAAATATGTAAAACAAAAGCATTATTAACAAACAGGTTGTCTTTAAAAAGACAGTTTTAAAAGTTGACCACCGTACCGCTGCGCCTAAAACTTAAAAATATATATATGTATATCATGCAGTATATTCCATATAAATTATTATTATCCAGTATCTTGCTTTGGAGAAAACAAGTCATGCAACTATTTATATTCTACACATTATGTCTTATAAACCACAAAACTGTATAGTTATAATACTATTCGTTACCGAGCCTTTGTTATCTGGGCCTACCTAGATAATATGTGCGCGTCTGACTACCTAAGCAAAATATAGGACGGCTTGTATTTTACGATCGGACGGTTTTCTAACCGTCCGTTACCATTATGTGCAGTGCGCACTGCATTTGTATGTTATCCTAAGACGAAGCAAGAAGTCATCGTTGTTCCACGTAAGTACGTTTTATTATAGAAATTTATAAGTGAATTCATTATAATCATAAAGGAAAAATGGGGATTTTATAATAAAATCAATTGTAAAAATGTAGTGAGATATTTCAAATATTTTGGTAAATTAAATTATATATAAAAGTGCGCTTAAAATTACCGTAAAAGGATATTCGCTCTAATACCGCGTGGTACGCATATAAGAAATGCCGAACATTTAATTATTTTTGACCTTTTAAACAAAAAAAAAAATTAAGTTAAAATAGATAATAAGAATTGGAACGCCGTGTCCGTATGGACTCGATGCCATAACAAATAAGTTGAGTTTTCTTATGATCGAAATTATTTTGAGTGCCGTAATTAACGCGTCAACTTGTGACAAATATTAGCCGTTCTTAATGTTATTTAAATTATGCCGTGTACAAAAAATATATCTTGCCGTAAATACATAAAAAAGGTCGACGGTAAAACCGGACATAAGTATGTCGTCGGGGGTTAGCCGGGATATTATTTGCCAAATAATAATATATCAGTCGATCTGAACAAACGCAGAGACAAACCGCCGTATAAATAAAATATTAAAAACTCAACGGTAACCAACCGGAAATATGTATTTAATCACTACCAAAATCGCTGATGACATTCGCGTATTAACAACAAGAATATTTAAAATTCAAAAATTCGATCCGGACGTATAAAATAGAGGTTAATTACTCCTTTCTCTTAAACTACCCATATGATCTACGTTCGAAATTCAAAGATATGTGTTAGTGGTGTGTTAAAGATTTTGGTCTTCAGACCATAAGCAAATAACTCAATAAAATATTGAATTTGCAGTAAAAATGCGGCACTAAGCGGCAATATCGGCAACAATGGATCTGCGGCAAAAATAAAATTGCGGCGATGCATGGCCATGGCAAAAACGGCAATCGGCAAATAAAAACAGATAGAATCAAATTCAAATTGATTATCTGCAACGTGTGGCAACGTGCGGCCGAATATGATCGCTTCCTTGGCTGCGGGCGGCAACGTGCGGCTAAAGATGAAACGAACGGCAAGTAACGGCTAAAACGCTGATGTAAATAAAATTCACAAATTTTATAATAGTATGGTAAACAAATATACGGCACTCCAGTATGATTAGGCGTTAATATAAAGGGGAAGGAAAAAAAAAATTTAACCTAGTTTCTTATTGTATTCTAGGTAGCAATGCGTGCATTGTTTATCGTAATGAGGTCACGCTTGCAGTAAACAAATCGTTTCAAATCAAGGGTAACTATAATATTTTTTTATTTTAACAAAACTAATTAAACTTATACAATAAATTGTTTTATAATAAAGTATTTATTTTAGGGATGAAGTCCGCGGATTCAAGTTCCTATGCTTTAAAAGAAATTCGTTTGTGAGGTCATAAAACAGACGATCGGCGGTGGCGATTCTGACGTTGATTTTTCGGCATATCAATTCCTCAAATATTACGGTTGCTCCGAGGGATGGTGAAATTCGGTCCCGGCTCATTCCTATTGCCGGAGTGTCACCCATGTAAAAACAACAAAAATAGCCATAACGACAACTAAACATTATAAACTCATTTAGCTTAATATATCATATAAAATAAATAACAAAATCAATATGTATTAACTTAAGTAATAAGTATAAATTATAAACGAATAATAGTTGTAAATAATATTCTATAATAATAACAATAACAATAATAATAATTGTCTGCAAATTGTAAACCTAACAGTAAGCAGAAGAAAGAAAATAATTTATTACAATAATAAATAATCTTAATATTATAATAGTCGGTATAATAAATGTTTTGATAATAATAATTGTTATAAATTAGGTAACTATAAATAGCATATTATAATAATTAAATTTTCAATTTTTTAATAATAATAATAATAATAATAATAAATAATAATAATAATAATAATAATAATAATAAATTTGGTCATTTTAAAGCGCGTTTTTCAAAAACACCAAAGCTGATAAATGGTAAGGAGTCATTCTATTTCGCTTTGGTGTTATAATATTCCCAGCTGTCGAAAATACGCGTTCAGACGATGCTGATGAAGCGGGAATGCATAATATGCTTTTTGCTAAAATCGACACAGTGGGATATATATTTTCACGTGATTTCCACCACAAAGAAGGATTCTCATTATGGTTAATTTGTGGTTCTGACAAATACCGAGTAAATTCGTCTTCATCATCCTCAAAAAAGTGGCCCATTAGCTCGTCTAAGATTGTTGGTTTTACAATTTGAATGTTACTACCGTCTGCAGTCGTCAAAACCGATGATATTTTCGATCGCACAGTTGCTCGAATACGGATTTTAATTTGCTCGGATGGTTCAAAATTGAGATTTTTATATCTAGGATCGAGCAGACTTCCCATTTGTGATACATTCACCGGTATGTCATCTAAATCTTCTTCTTTCATTAAAAATCGTTTGGATAAATCTTCGGCAACTACGTTTTTAAATCCTGTAGCAAACATGCAATCCGATTCATTCAATTTCAAATGTTTGCTCATAAGACTTGCAATAAGTGGTCGAACCTGAAATACAATAAATAAGTTTTACATGTTTTTATATTATTGAAAAACAAAATTGCTTGTTACCAAGTTTGTATTATGTTGTATATTTACCATTGATATCGTTATTTGCTGCTCAGAACATAGTATTGTCGTGGTTAATTGCAGAGGCTTTAACAACTTGACGAGGATTTCACATTTGTCCCAGTCGTTTTCCAACATTTCTAATTTTTTTGCGGTTTTTACATTGAAGTGCTCTCGATCCGATAAGACTGACACAACAGCCCTGCGCAGTAAAAGCAAACGTTCCAACATTGCTAAGGACGAATTCCATCGAGTGGGACAACTTTGGACTAGAGCTAACTGTTTTTGACCCGTCTGTTGTAAATATAGCTGTAATGCATTAGATCGCTTAGGAGATTGTCTAAAAGCAGCAACAATCGAAGACGCTACTTTTAATATCCGACTACAAACACTTCCATTAAGACCTTTCTTAATGGCTAATTGGATTGTGTGTGCTGCGCATCTATTTGAGTATAAATTGTATTCCTTTTCCAAACTTTTGACTGCATTTGATATATTTAATGCATTATCATGTGTAATGCCAGTGACCTTATTAGACAAATGCCATTTTTCCACAACCTCCAAAATTTCGTCTTTAAGGTGGTCAGCCGTATGGGATTCTAAGATTTCGTCAATTGATAATGTTAAATTACGCAATATCCAATTTTTATCAAAATAATGACCAGTGTATGTGATATAAGAGTCTATAGCCATTGAACTCCAGCCATCAGTAGTTAGAGCGATACCGTTAATATTTTCGAGATAAGTTTTTGTGTCGTTTACTTTATCTTCGTATAATTGTTCTATACGATTACTTATTGTTTTTCGACACGGTATCTGATAGTTAGGTTCAACCAATTTCATAAGTTTTTTAAATCCTTCATTTTCAACAAAGGAAAAAGGCAGCAAGTCACTAGTAATAACTTCACAAATGCCATGTGTTATAAGTTCTTTGCGTTCTTTGTTTAATGGCCTATCTTTTAATGATTTTGTGTTGTACGTTCGTTTTAAACGTTTTTGAAACAGAGGGCTAGTTGACTCTGTGGATGTCGAGGCTGTTTGATCAGTGAATGTCGAGGCTGTTTGATTAGAGGATGTCGAGGCAGTTTGACCATTGGGTGTAGAGACTGTTTGATTAGAGGATGTCGAGGCTGTTTGATCAGTGAATGTCGAGGCAGTTTGACCATTGGGTGTGGAGACTGTTTGATTTGTGGATGTCGAGGCAGTTTGACCATTGGGTGTAGAGACTGTTTGACCAGTTGAAATAGCTATCTGTTCATTCTCGCTTTGTTCAACGTCATCATGCACCCTATAAGGTATACGAAATAAATAAATTATGATTGAAAATAAACTGTCATAATGTTAACAATAAATTAATATTATTTACTGAAAAAAGTAGGAGCTGTTTATTTTACGTTGATACGATGTAATAATTAACGTGTAAAAACAATTAAGAGTTAAGAGTTGTTTTAAATGTTAAATAAGTTAAAAATATGTAGTACCTAATTTGTAAAAAATAAACATGTCTAAGTAAATATTTATTTTAAACATTTTGTTTTGTCGAATGTTTATGGATCACCTGTATTTTCAATACTTACCAATACCTCATTATGTTCTGTTTAAATAATAATAGCATCGATATTTTTTGGATATCTTTGTATTTAGGTCTTAAGAGAGACTGAAAATAAGTCACTTAATTTTGGATTTAAATTATAATAATAATCTTTATTGACGGAAATACATTCCAATTCACAATAATATAATATATGACAGAGATGTAGTATTTATATATGTAGTGTAAGGACAGTAAGTGTTTAAAATATAAAAGCATCCATTATAAAATTAAAAAAAGTAGATTAAAAAATTAATCCAAAAAAAACGTTTTTATGCGCCTTAAAAAGGATAAAATAACCTTCCTGGCGTCTTGATAACCAAATAGAATAGTTGAACTAGAAAAACCTGGGGCGCATCTTTCTACTTAGATATTAAAACCTAAGCTTTCATGCTAATACATTAAGTTGTCTCTCATAATGCTGTCGAGATGAAAAAACATTTTTTAATCGCTTTCAAAGATGCTATCATAGTCCGAAAAATAAATTAACTACCAAAATAGAGTCCTAATTATTAAACAAATAATTACACATCACAGTTTAACCTTTAAATTAAGATTTTGTAAAAAAAATGCCTATACTTTACCCTTAAAAAGGGGCGGTGTGACGGAACGGTAAGCGCTATTTATTGAGGGGCAAAGGATAGGCAATATTTGTCATATTTAGGCACTTTTTGAGATTTAGCGTACCTATATCTAAAAAAGTAGAGCTGACAGGAAAAATCTGATGACATATTTGAAATCAGCATTTAAAATACTATTAAAACCAGCAGGAAAATCGTACGCACCAAAATGTGTGTTGGGCCAGTGTTATTAATATATTATTATCGATAAACGTTAAAATCAAAACAAATATCATAAACCTTTTCCGCCAGAAGGGATGAAACTTTTTTCTTTATATCGCTTTTAGGGATACAATATTCATGCTGGTATTCTTCAACCGTAGGTCTTCTTTATTGTTTTATCTTGGTCTTACGTCCATATGTATGACGCATTGATCTTATAGTTTATTAGCATTTGTAGAACTATATTAATTATTTCCCTTATTAATGTAAGCACATTAGTATAAGCAGAAGGTGGCAGCAAACATATATTCATAGATACATTCTACAGACATAATACCTAAGCATATTAGCCTTTTTTTTGGTTAGGTTAGGTAATAAAAATATTATGGCCCTTCTTAATGTAAAGGTTTTAATAAGCTTGTAACCTCTTATTATCTGGTATCTAAAATTATGCTTTCGAAATACAAGTATAAAATACCTTGTAATTATTTTTCAAAATTAATTAATAATAACGTTAAATTCTAAGATAAAAATATAAAGTCAACTACCAAGCAAGTTTATATTTGCTGAAATTACGAAAAAATAACGATTAAATATTTAATCTAACTTAAAGATTTTTCGGCTGAGGTTATCGTATATTTATTTCTATAACTTAAATAGTTTTATTTATTTATTAGCAGTACCTATTTAACTTGGATTAACACTTAAGTCCCTTAATATTTAAAAGATACAAGAAACATAAATACATTAGCGGTTTTTATATTTTCCTAATATTTAAGAAAAGGAATGTGATCGACAAATAAAACAAGTACAATTTAATTTAAAACTTACCAGGACTAACGTAATCTGAAACATAGAATAAAGTATTTATAATATAAAAAAATAAATATATTGTAATCAAATATTTGGATTTTTTTGTAATTCCTTATTTAAATTTAATATGTATGCAAATTTTTTTTAAAATTAACTCTTGGCCATTCTAAATAACGCCAATAGTTTTCATAGTAACGGCTGATAGCCATTCACAATAAGTTTATTGAGAGTCTAGTTTTTTGGTATTTTCCAAACTATAGATGTAGGATCAAATCAAACATAGATACATTCTACTCACACTACAGCTAAACACATTGACCTCTTTCTTCTATCTTTCTAACGGGTGAAAATTGTTAGGTTACGTTAAGTAAATAAAAAACAACGCCCTTATAAAATATACATTTTTAAGAAAACAAATATATGGACTTACCATATAGTCTTGATGCTGCAGGAGCTGCTGGGTCTCTTTCTAAAACAATGAACAAAATAACCTAAAATCTAAATACTTATTTAATCTATTGCATAACTTTTCTAATTAGTACTTATTAAGTTGTACCTAAAAATTTTAATCAAGTTGTTACCCAATAGTCCAATTTTATATTTTTAAATATAAGTACTTCTAGATAAACAAAATGATATAATTTGCTAATTAACATGGCAGAGTTATTTTTATTTTCATCAAAGTAAAGTACTCGTTAAGTAATCAGAATGATCAAATAATATGTTTCCCATTGTTCCATAATAAACAAATTCAATAACTATAGAAGGGTATCATCCATAATATATTTTTGTAGTTAATATAATAATATTCATGTCTATAGTTGTTTTTATTAGAAGAAATGCCTCCAAATAAAATTATGAATTTATTTTTTCATTAATAAATTAATTTTTTTTTATAAGCCGTAGTATATAATTTTTATATTTATTTATTATTTGTTTTTCATTTTATTAATTTAATATTTTGAATAAAATAATTTGGAAAGTTCTCATAAGCTATAATTAAAAAAAAATTATTGTAATTATTAAATTATAAATAGCTCATAGTGGTTTATTAATCTCGAATAAATCAATCATTAATTTTTATATCTAATAAGTTGTTTTTTTTTTATTTGAGCAGTACCTATATTATTTAGGTTAACACTCATCTCCTTAAATATTAAAAAAGTAAAATAATTTTGTTTGAAATGCTAGTATAATTTTTTTTATATTTATTAGTTCAACGAAAAAAAAAAATACAACTTAATTTAAAACTTACGTCCATTAACACCTGAAACATGAAAAGTATATATGTATATTATAAATATTAAACAGTTGTAATATAGATCTTGGAAAATATTACACTTTTTTCAAAAAATACCTTAATTTCTTTATATAAACCATATTAGTATTAATTGCTATACTTAATTTTTTAAGTACCTGAAGTTGCTGACAGCACAGCCAAAACAACTGTTGACAAAAACAAAAAACTGCCTTGGAAATTCATATTTAGGATATAAAAGTATAACAACAAAGACGTTGATCTCATAACCAAGCTACAGCTCGTTTGCTAATGTAAAATACCCAACATTTATTTAATAAGTGTTACAATGTAAACAGGATATAAAAAAAATATAGTATGAGGAAATGACATAAAACACTGCGGTTGTTGTATGTTTTTATCTTTTAAAACGTATTTGATGTTGGTGATTTATGATATGTTTGAAGTATTATTTGACCAATATGGTTTAAGACTACAAATATTAGCATAAAGTTTCCGTATGTTGTATAATATTATTATATTCTTTATGTTTTTAAGCTGTCTCTCCCGTCACCGCCAAACTGTTTGAAACCGATAACCTACATAATATCATGTCAATAGTAAAATCTTAACTGATGACAGTGTCAACACGTCATATTATGTTTTATTCCGTATCCTGAATTTTCGTTGTACGGAATGCGCCTACACATTGTAAATAACACACAATTTTTATTAAATTTTTTTAGGATCTTATTTTTCTTAGTGTCGTAACATTTTAGCTTCGATGCAAAGCGAGAAGGTATTGGTTTTACTCTGATGTGTGTTTTTTTTTTATCTGTATACACTGTAACTTTTTTAATACTGGACCAATTCCTTCGAGTAGCAACTCTATAAATCGCAAATTTCATCTAGTTGGTACTTTGGGGGGGGGGGGGGGTAAAAGTTGAAAAAGTTTAATTCTTCACAGACGAAAGTTGAAAAAACAAAAAAAAAACCGTACGAGTTTTTAAGTTAGAACTTTTACTGGCTATAATTTCGAGAAAAAGAGTCGGATCGAGTTGAAATGTATAAGAAATAATTACTTGGTATGCCCGCACACGTCAGTTGTGTCAAACTTAAACTATACCCATTTCCCACCCCCCTAGGGGGGGTACAATTTTTTTTGTTTTTCGGGGTTTTTAGCGGTAATTTTGAAACTTTTGGGTTGAAAATTTGCCAGTAGTTGGAACTCATATGTACCCATAACATATTAAACGGGAAAAAAATTCGGCACTACAGTTTTTTTTTAATTGCCGGGAAACTGTGTTTTCGCAGATTTCGTATATTTTAACAAAAACACCTAAAATCTTTAAAAAAAATTGATCAAATCATTAAAACAATTTTACGTATATCTATGCAGAATGATACTATTAGGTTTTGTGCTCAAGTACCACTTTTGACTTAAAGTTTACACAAATTCAATTTTTTTTTTTTCTTTTTTTTTTTAACTAAAAACCCGGTGGACCAGATGTGAGAAACGAACAGACACTAAAAATTATTAGTTGGTAACGTCTATCCGTGTTAGATTAGGTTAGGGCCCAATGATCGGTATCATAATATTGTGTTTATTACATGATATCACAGGCGACTAAATCGTGTACCTGATTATAGTAGAAACTCGATTGATTGGGAAAAAAACCTATCCGTGTACTTATTAAGACACTTAATGATTCTGATACGACAAAACCACTGTCGTTATCTCGTTATTTTATAGCCTGCGTTATATAACCTTACCGAAGTGTAACTATGAGTATATAATGTCCAACTACCTGCAAATAATGAAGAGGACTGTTGTTGTTTGGATTCAGATTAAGTGTTGGTTTTTATGCAGTATACCGCCTCAAAATGTTTTTTTTATTACACAATTTTTTTAAAGGAAAACTAATGTCTTGTATATTGTTATACTGTTATTCATTTAAAGAGATTCAAGCTTGATTGTTTAAATTGTTTAATATTAGATAATCTGCTTCGTGCTAATTTTAATTTTTTAGTTTATCAACTTGTAGCTCTAATTTTGTATAAAATATTTCATTATTTTATTACTATGTACTATTACTATTAAGATAAATTTTAATAATAATTAAGTCATAAATGATAATACTTTGTTTTATGACTAGATCAAATCTCGTGAACATTTAACATCATGATACTGCTCCTATGCTATTATTAAAAAAACACAATTTTTAAAATCTCCATAAAAGGTTATTGTTAAATAACAGGCAACAGCCGACTGCTAGTGGCTATACACGTTAGTAATATTTAACTAATAAGTAATATATGTAGGTAAAATTTATTGTTTTCTCCATCACAGTACCAGTATACGATTTATTTTAATTTAAATGTAAGAAAATCGATTTTTCTTTAGAAAATAACAAGAAATTAATATACAGGACGAGGCAGTATTATGAGGCGATTTTCTAATGTATTTAAATGGTAAAACCCGTTTCACTATCCCACCCTTTACATTTTAAGGATTTATGAAAAGGTTTTTTTAGTTGCATTTTATTTTGTACATTGTCAATCTAGTAAAATAGAAGTATAATATAGCTTTGAAATAATATAATCTGTGAAGTATAAATAGTTTGTGTGAGATTGCTTTAATGGAAGTATATAATACATAAATATTAATTTTATTGAGAATAAGCGATTATAATTTAAACTATGGAGTACAAACGATTGAAACATGAATCGTCGACCATTCCAACAAAATATAACAAGACATTGTATATGTGTTATTTGGTCCACTAAGTTTTTGCAAAAAAAAAAAACCAGTACAGTGGGGTCGGGGCATAGTGGGGACGGAGCATAGTTGGGTCGGGGCATAGTGGTGACGGGGAGGTCACAGGTTTACAGGAATTTTTAAATCTGAAAGTGATAAAATCACTTTCGAAAAAACGCTTCGATGCAAATCGGTAGTTAGTATTTTCAAGCCAGTACAGTCCAAACCAAGCACAGTATAAACCAGCAAAGTTAGAAAGTTTTAAATGAAGGTTCTGTATTTACAAATGAGCATCAAAGCGTTTATTTGAAAGCGATTTTATTCAATTTTATCATTTTTATTTATAATAATTCTTGTAGACCTGTGACCTCTCCGTTTCCTCATTGCTTTGATTACATTATGCCAATACTCTACTGTACTAGTCCTCTCGGATAAAATCACTTTCAAATTAACGCTTTGATGGTCATTTGTAAATACAGAACCTTCATTTAAAACTTTCTAACTTTGCTGGTTTATACTGTGCTTGGTTTGGACTGTACTGGCTTGAAAATACTAACTACCGATTTGCATCGAAGCGTTTTTTCGAAAGTGATTTTATCACTTTCAGATTTAAAAATTCCTGTAAACCTGTGACCTCCCCGTCACCACTATGCCCCGACCCAACTATGCTCCGTCCCCACTATGCCCCGACCCCACTGTACTGGTTTTTTTTATTTTTAGTATTACAATGTAAACAGGTTATAAATAAATATTTTTTGGGGAAATGACATGTAAAACACTGCGGTTGTTGTATGTTTTTATCTTTTAAAACGTATTTGATGTTGGTGATTTATGATATGTTTCCTGAAATGTTTGAAGTATTATTTGACCAATATAGTTTAAGATTACAAATATTATATAATATTATTATATTCTTCATGTTTTTAAGCTGTCTCTCCCATCACCGCCAAACTGTTTGAAACCGATAACCTACATAATATAATATAATGTCGATAGTAAAATTTGACAGATGAACTGGTGCCAGTGTCAATACATATCAGGTTTTATTCCGTACCCTGAATGGCTGAATGTATGTATAGTTGTATGTAATGCGCCTACACATAATAAACAATAATGTTTGTAAATAACACACAATTGTTATTGATTTTTTAGCATTTTACTTTTCTTAGTTTCGCTTCAAAGTGAATATTTTTATATTACAAGTAATAGCGCGTATAAAAACTCATTATGATTTATACCCAACCACATCCTAGCATAATGAACCCAGAAAATATAATAAGCCTTTTTTAAATCATTAACTCCACTAAATTTCTAGTTTTTTTTTTATAAAGTTTAAACCAAATTGCAACCAACTCTGAATTGTTAGGTTTTTAATAACATCTTGCGCCAATTTGTACATATCCATTAAAGAACAAATAATAATATAATTATAGATTATAATGTGAACCAAATATTTAAAAAAATGGTAACCAATATTTATTTTTTAGTAAAAATATTTTAACTAAATAAATAATAATACAAAAACTATAATTATATTTTTATCCATTTTTTGCTGCAATTGGTTTAGGGCACCCAAACATTTCTACATTTGTTAAAGAATAATTTTACTATTTTAATTATATTTTTAACTGGAACCTTTTGATAATATTAAATGGTTTTATCATTGTTCTTACTTTTCTAAATAATTGTATATTTAATTTCTTACATGGAAAAGTATTGAAATCCCGTTTTAAGTTGTGTTTTTATTGAAATATAAAAATAAAACCTATTTTGATGTGATGTTGCTTGATTGTATGCTTATTCAAACAGTTACCTGTTAGCCACGATACACCTATGCTGTATGCATTAAATACCAAAACCAAATACAAAATCTTCGACCTAGTTTTTTACGTCTTATTTACCTTAAATTCGTATCGATATAAAATAGCACAACATGCATCAGTAATAGTAGTAATACAAATAAAAGTGACTTAACAATGGTCTATGTAGCCAGGTTTTTCGTACTATTAAATGAGTTTTTATAAAATTAAAGAACTTAGTATGTAAAAACACACAATTGTTCTTCATTGTTTTAGCGTCTAAGTTTATTTAGCTACGTATCGTTGTGAATAACATACTATGAGTAATAGCCCACACAAAAACACTTCTCTAAATCAACACACAACCACATATGCAATTTTACAAGTGTTGAAAATAGTACGCAATTATGGAAAGATAATATGAAATTAACATACTATTCAATTTAAAATATGTAGGATTAATGTTTGTACCCTGAATTATTTTAAGGACATTTTTAATAAGACTGATAAGGGCTGCGCAAAAGTATCAGTGTAGCCGCATGAGTTAATATGAACAATTGTGCAGTTATTTTACAACATTATGTACACACTTCTTATCAACCATACGATTTAAATGATAACTACTATATTATAATGAAACACATTACACGAAATTTTATACTCGGATATGTGGTCAAACTGATTTCATTTTGGTCATGTGACGTCTTGGTTTTTGTTTACTTGCCGAGTGAGCTATCTGTTTTCATATAGTCTGTGGTAGTGGTATATTGTAGCCAAGGCTGTTCTTTTTTTTGGCCCATAACATTACACCACTCAATTCTCCCCTTTTGAAATGGGTTTAATTTCTTACAGTATCTTAAACTACTACAGCTTAATATGTTTTTCAAATTTCAAAAGCCTATCTTAAGAGGAAGCAAAGATATAAGGGGGTAAGAAACACCATGTGAATTAGTTTTAGACTCACATTGCTACAACTTGGCTGTCGCACTGCCGTGCGCTCAGACAGTCTCTATTCGAAGTAATAATTAACAAGCTTTAAAATTAAAACAGATTAGAATACTGAGGCAACTAACTACCAGAATTTCAAAGTTTTAAAGTAGTAAAGTATAGATACCTACTTGTTTTTTCATTTATCAAAAAAATTGATTTTCGAAGCGTATCGATTTTTTTGTTAAAATAAAATCATTTTTGTAGCTATTTTTTTTTAAATTAAATAACAAGCTTATTTTTTGGTTAAATGATAGTTACAGTTTTAGAATTTATTTATTCACGCGTATAATGTTTAATACAATTATATTTTTTCGTGACAAAAAATGATTTTTGCGGTTGTTTTTTTGTTGTATGGTATAATGTTTTGTTATTAAATGTAAGCAGTAATTAAATGTGTAGTAAGAACTTATCCTTAGTATTAAATTAAACATATACATCAAACATATTTACTTAATGTTATATATATTGTAATCTGATATGAAATGAGGTAGAATAAATGTGCATAGTATATAAAGATAAATTAAGATTTATATTTCTTCTAAATATAAATACTGAGCCCGTCAAAAATTACATTTCCATAGATAATTTAAAATAAAAAAATTAATATAAGGGAATAAATCAGAAGTAGAAACAAGTTATTGGAATAGACTATATAATAAATTACAAATGTACGTTTTAGTGGTTAATATTTTTTTGGTGAGTGTATAAGGAAACAATAATAAACATAGATACATCTATGATATACATATGCGATAACACCATGAGTTATATACAATATGTTACTATATATATATATTATTAATAAAGGATAAAACACAACGATGGACAAAGATAAACATTTTAAAAACTAATAAGCATATTTATTTTAAGAATGTGACAAGGATCTTTGGTATTACAAATTTGTCAAATAGTTAAATTCAAAAAATATTAAATATTAAATAATAAATTATTGTGAACAAATGATCTCATATTTAAAATTAGTTTACATATAAATATTCTGGTTTTAAGTAACTGTACCACCAAAGTACTAATTGTATATAATTTCGGGTGTATAGAAGGTGCTACATAATTTTAAAAGTAAAACCAACAACTTCTGATGCTTTGTACCAAAACTAAAACGTCCTCTATAACCTCTATCTAAAATTGGGTATTTTATATATTCTGTAACATTTGACTGTTGCACTCTTTATTAATTATATTTGAGATTTTAGCATTTTTAAACTATTAATTACTTATAGTATTGACTTTTATTAATCTCAAATACACCTTTAATGACTAAAATATATCTAGTAATAATAGTTTTATAGCCATGCTTCTACTAGGATTCACCAATTAATGATCTAATCGGAGTCTCCAATTTTTTTGCATTCAATTATAACTAGGATGCACTAAATTTTAATAATAATTTTTTATAATACTCATAAAATAAGATAATTATATTTCGATTTAATTTACAATCGGAAAAATATCTATGAATTATTAAAATATATGTTTGTAGATGCGTTTATATCAGTATAGTCCAAATCAAGCAACAGTATAAACTATGCACAGTTCAAACCAACAAAGTAAAAAATTACTTAAGTGGTCTTGTATCCATAGATTCCCGTTGAATCGTCTTCTTGAATGTTAATTTATATTAACATAATAAATAATTCCTTTAACTCATTTTGTACTAAACTATTTCTGTACTGATTTAGACTGTACTTGCGTGAGACAATGCTGGAATTATTTTCACATTCAATGACTCAAGTTAGTTAACGCGACCGTAATAATGTTTCCATTATAATATAACTCTCTTCAATATACAAAACCACTATCTAAAACGAGTAAATAAATCTGTTGGTTTCAGTCAATAATAGTTGTAGTTAACGAAAAACAAGACATTTTAAAATTGGCCGAATAAAAATGTTTATTATGATTTAGTAAAATATATAAACATGGTTTTGAAAAAATAAATACACAATTTGATAATTGATTGGAAACTGTTAAGAAACTGGATATTATTATGACACCTTTAAATCCTTCCTGAAATAAAAAAAAATTAAAAATCTGAATTTATTTTCATGACACCATTGTTAAAATAAAACTATTGTTAATTGTTTAAGCATGTTATAGTTATACTTTTTTTTTTACCTACATTTCCTTAAAAAAAACTTTATTCACTAGGAAGGTATAAATTATTTTGGAAAATGTAATATAATAAAGATTTGTATTAAATTCTTTTAGCTAAGTCATATATTTAAGGGGAACGGAAAGCGTATTTTTTTTTTACAAATGAAGACTAAAACGTGGAGTCACTTTTAGAATTGTCTACCGAACCGATTTCAATAATAATTATTTTATTCTATAGTTTAACATCTTCTCTATGGGAACTAAAAAACCGATTTTTTATTTTTGTTTTCAAAAAATATTTATAAGCATTTTTATTTTTACTTTTTTATAGTTTTTTCTAATACATACAACTACTTTTTAATAGCTAAATCAAAAATCGGTCTTTAGCCCCCATAGAAAAAATAGTAAGTTTCACATAAAAATTAAAAAACTTGTAATCCATCCAATAGATACGTCAGAAAATGACATCCACGGAAGTCATTTTTTATCAAACTTTCGTCATAATTTGGAGAAAAATAACTTTAAAAGTATTATAATTAGAAAATTGTAATATGTGTTCCTTGAAATTAATAGGCATATTAAAAATGGCTATTAGGTTAATTTTTGCCAAATATTACCTAACCTTTGCCCTTTAATAAATAACGCTTTCCGTTCCCCTTAACAGAAATATACACCGGCTTTTAATTTCCAAAGACATATGTAACGGTTTTTGTTTTTATAACCGTTTATGTACGTTCTCAAATTGTTTAGATTTCTTTATCGATAGAAAAGTTTCAATCATTTTTTTTTAAACTTTTATATTTTAATGGTTAGCTTACTCCGTCGTTATCAATGATGACGACGATGTGCTTCTAAAATTTAGTTATTTTTTTACTAGGTATATCAACTTACTTAATCTTTATCATCAGCATAACTAAAAGGATTGGGATTATCTGTATCATCTAATCCACAACATTTTCTACCCAAATATAAACAAGTTACTAAAGGACAGCAACACCCCATAGAAACCCTAGTTAAACATTTATTCGGTGCATCGGGAGGACCTTTATCTAAATAAAAAAAAAACATTAGACATTTACCTTATTATTACTTATATTATTGTTTAAACTATAAAAAGAAGGTTACATATTATTGTACTGACTTGTTTTGTATACTACCGGTTTCTTTTCAATCGAATTAGTTTCACCTATCCCAAAAAAATAATATTCAAATCATATATTACAGTTTGCTAACTTTAAAGTGACAATTTGGTTTAAAAAAAAAAAAAAAATGTTTGTAAGTATTGGTTTTTTAACGATTTTTACAGTAACCTTTTAACACAGATGTTATTTGGCAGTAACTAAAACGTCAAGTTAAGTTACTTTCTGAAATGTCGATCGAACCAATTGATTTACCTTATTATTACTTATATTATTGTTTAAACTATAAAAAGAAGGTTACATATTATTGTACTGACTTGTTTTGTATACTACCGGTTCCTTTTCAACCGAATTAGTTTCACCTATCCCTAAAAAATAATATTCAAATCATATATTACAGTTTGCTAACTTTAAAGTGACAATTTGGTTTAAAAAAAAAAAAAAAATGTTTGTAAGTATTGGTTTTTTAACGATTTTTACAGTAACCTTTTAACACAGATGTTATTTGGCAGTAACTAAAACGTCAAGTTAAGTTACTTTCTGAAATGTCGATCGAACCAATTGCAATAATTTCTTTGTTTTTAGTTTAACATCTTCTCAATGGGGTCTTAAAGGCCGATTTTTATTGATTGATTCTACGAAATTAATTTTTATCTAACTGTCGTCATAACTCGAAGAAAAAACTAGTTGGAATAAATAAGAATGGCTACTAGATCAATTTTTGTAAAATATTGCCTTTTCTTTACCCCTTTAACAAAAGTACAAAAATATATATAATATGAACGTTTAAAATACATTTTACACTATAAACTAAAAAAATAATAACTAAAAAAATAAAGCCAGTGCAGCCCAAACTACAGTATAACCTAGTACAGTCTAAATCAGTAAAGTAGAAATTAAGTTCAGTCTATACCAATACAGTGTAAACTAAGAACAGTTTAAACTAGTACAGTTCAAACCAGACCACTATCCACATATTCACACCAAAGCGTTTTCTTAAAAGTTAGGTAAAAAAACAATTGTTATTTTCTACAATATAAAGCATTCGTTAAATATTAAGAATGATCAAAAAATATGTTTTCCATGTTTCATAATAAACAAATTAAATAATATTAGAAGGCTGTCACATATAATATATTTGTATAGTTTTTGTATTTTGGATTTCACATGTCTCTTTAAATATTAAAAAGGAAATTTGTTTAAAATGCTAGTATATTTATATATTTTTTTATATTTAGCTTATTGGAGTCGATCAATGAATGAAAAATATTGTAGGTACAGCTTAATTTAAAACTTATCTCCGTTGAGATGAAACATGAAATGTATAAATGAATAGTAAAAATAATTATTAATCTAGTGTAATATCGCGCTTTGAAAATATCAAACTATTTCTAAAATATGCCTTATTTTTTTTTTTATTCATAACATTACCATATTAATATTAATTTTTATACTCAATTTTCGTATGTACCTGAAGGTGCTGATAGCACAACCAAAACCGCTGTCGATAAAATCAAATAAATGCCTATGCAGTTCATATTTATGATATTAAAGATTAAAGATTATCACCAATGGACTTGATCGCAATACTATACTAAGGCCACTAAGAAAACGCTACTCCTTGGCGCATCCAAATGAACGAGCTCCGCGGTTTCGAGCCTATATTTCTCCCACTCTTCTACTTACTCGCCGCCGTAAATTCCCCTACTCACTACGCGGCGACCGTCGGCTATTCCACGGCCGCCGCCACCGAGAAGTTGTATACAGTAGCATATACAATTACAATTGTAATTTGTGTAATTTTAGGTGAAATAAAAGTTATTATTTCTACGATATATTTATATTGACTTCGTTACTTCCCGACATACTTGTAGAACGATTTTAAATTTTGACGTGTATAACTAAGCTAGAATTCTAAATTTACTTCTGAAACTTCGTAAATACATTTTTTTAGTCCTATACAATAATTTACATGGTGTTAAAGCGCTTGGAAATGTGTTAAGCTAAACATTATACTATAAAAACTTTATACTGGACTTATACTACTTTATAAGTATTATTATGCTATACACATTACAATATACTATTGTATATTATGTTTTTTTTTTAATTTCTTATTAAGTATTTTTATTATTTCTAATCTTCTAAACCATAGCACGAAATAAATTATAAATTATTGGTAAATAAAACTTATTTTAGTTAAGAAATGCGTTATGCAGGACTTGTAAATTCGTTAATAACTGTAAAATATAAGTAGTGGTTATTTTCATAAAGTAATATTGTTTTGTTAAATAAGAGACTAATAGAAACAAATACATGTAACATTGTGGTCACACTTTTAATGGAAGATAACCTTTGATAGATATTTTTGTTGATTCATAGTTCCTAATTTTATAAGTATTATTTTCTCATAGTCGGTAATTAGTATTTTTCTGATTTGGGTTTCACTCGCAATATTGTTTTTGCACTTTTCTCAATTTTCAATAATCCTAAACACATTTTTTTATCGATGCGTTGGTTAATATTAAAAATGTATTCTTCTGGCAATAAACACACCAAAGTGTTTTCATGCGTTTTGCCTGTTGTTGTCGTAGATGGAACGGTTTTTTATTTGTACAAATGCTTCAACTACCAAAATATTTCAAAAAAAAAAAATGTGTATTATTATAATACTATGCATATTATTTTCAAGTCTCTATAGACATTTTTATCGATAAAAACCTTTTTCTGTTAGATTAAAATATGTAACAAAAAATTATTGGAAATTAAAAATAATTTTTAAAATCAAAATTCACGTGAAATTATTTTATAATACCTAACTGTCAAACAAAAGTTCAAAAAAAATATTTATTAAAACTTTTCGAAATTAGAAGTTTTTTCCATTTTTTTATCTAAATACAACCTCGTGCACCAAACATACATCTCGACCGACTTAAATGTTTGAAATTATATTTTATTAGGACAATTTATTAAAAGAAACACATATCGCTATTGTTGTAATTTGTTTTATTTAGATAACACTATAAATATTAATAATGCAGCATACTATTTTATATTATTATTATTTATTCCATCTAATACCGTATGAAATGTATGTATTATATTTTTTATTTCATGACTTCGGCTTATTGTCAAATGAACCAAATACATATTTTATACAATAATAAACGGAAATAGCTTTTGCAATTTTCAGTAGGTACTTAGTATGTAATAATCAAGTGTGTACCGACTAAGAACAATATAATATTAACAAATTGAAAATATTAGGCCAATCTAGCTCCCTTTTCGACAATTGCAAGTTGATGGAACGTCGATCCAAGGTAGCCTGTACTTTCAGGTGTGTTCGATTGGAAGAAAACGTATAGTCTAAAACACAAGTTTTACAATAATATCATGTTAACTATTTTATAAAATACAATTATTAGCTTTCGATTAAAGTAACTTAGCCTGTCTCCCTTCTGAAATTAAATAATCTCAACACTTAAATCCTGATATTGCGCTTAAGAAATAAAAAAACCAAAAAATCTTATTCCGCTTTTGGGGAAGGGTTGATGAAATTTTGATCTGAGAGTATTTTCTAAAAGCGACACACCTCACAAATGTTTGGATATATATTTTTATTTGTCACAACGGTATAGTTATGTATTAGGTGAATCTATAGTAACAATATTAGCTTATAGGTCATACTCGTACAATAATTGTGCCTAACTAACAACCTTGGGGAGATGATAAAATGTGTTTAATGCTATTGTGCAAACTACAAACACAAAGAGCCGTGAACTTCTTAGGGCTTGAACTATCAGTTCTAAAATGGTGTACCGCACTTACTTATATGTATAATATAAAACATTTGGTAAAAGTTTGGTAATGGAGACTTACTTTTACCGTAAGAACTTGAATAAAAATATGTTATGCGTAGTTGTAAAATGGAAAATTTTAAAAATTCAAACAGTTACTAGTAAAAATGTATCTCCTTTACCAAACTTTTACCAAATATTCTATGTATATACAAGTAATAAGTGCTGTATACATTCCAGAATGTTTAGTTCAAGCCCTAAGAAGCTCAAGGGTCTTAAATGTTTTCATTTTTTGTACAATGCAAAACTTTGAAGTTACTATTATACATCATAAAAAAAATGGCAAAAAACAAAATTATGAAAAAAAGTACCTATAGTTTGATGTCAGAATTAAAAAAAAAAAAATTGTCGTTACTTTGACCTTGAGTTAATATACAAATTCATGACATTTATACAATTTTGAATTAGTTTTTCATTTTTAACTTATTAATAATTAAAAAAAATTCATGTTATACAGTATGTGTTTTACTATTGTTTACAATACAATTTTATTAAGAAAAGCGACAGCACTTTAGACCTTATCGGGTTAATCCTAATACTTTTTTCTTTGGAAAATTGAGCTCGGTTATAATTACCTATTTTTTGGTATTCCAACAGTTTCGTGAACGTAATCTGTGATGGCGGCAATATGTTTTTTATTTTCTTCTGGCCCTAAGCTACCAATACTTGTGACTTGAACAATTCCACATGGCTCGCTGGATGCACCAAAAGTCATTTTCAAACCACTATTCACGAGCGTTATACAAAACTGAAAAACAATGTATATTTATAATATTACATTGAAATAATTTTTTTTAATGATTCATTGCAAATTGAAATGCGGTTTGAGATTATTTTACTGTCTGTAGTATAGTATAATGTCGGTGTCCCAAACACCTGTGGGGCTTTTTCCAAAAAATTCTCTGAAATTAAGTGTTCTTAGTTAGGTAGGTATAAGTTCTCAGAAATAAAAATTCCATCAGAACAGAAATTTAAAAGTGCTCAGCAAAACGTTGACACACTTATGTAATTTAAACTTATTAGTTATTTAGTATATTTTATAAATGTGTATTGGCAATATTACTATGAATGATTTGTCCTGATCAATATTTTGTATTAAAAATACAATTTACTACGAATTTAGGGTTTTATTATAATTAATAACTAGAAACTAGTTCTGAACTTATTTTTGTCATCAACAACTTTTTAAAGATCTAATACCTACACATTTTGGTCGTTTTCAATAAATGTCAAATAGGAAATCTTATTTTTTTAAAAGATCAAGAAATTTGTTATAAAAATAAAAGTCATTTCAAAAATTTGTCGGTCTCGGAATGTTATTTATATATTTACACTATCATTTAAATTTAGTACAGTTCCATTTTAATTGTATTTTGAGCCAATTAACGTTTAAATTATTGGGTTTAACTTATTTCTAAAATTAATTTTATTATTTCCGTAGGTACTCACTTTGGGTCCTTTGCCAAGTGTATTAGACAGCACTTTCAAAGCTCCGCTTAAGAAATCATCAGGTATTTTTGATGAGGGTAAGTTTGTGTCCAAACTTAAACGAGGCATTTTAAGATTTTTTTGATTATTTTAAACTGAACAAAAATTAAATCGAAATGATCAAGTATAGCGACCGTTCACGTTCTATAACACATTAATACTTGTTCGGTTACATAATTCGGTATTATAATTTTTTTTCGAGTATAGATATTTAATTTTTTTAACAGTAAGTTATTGGATATCGTTATAATTATTAAAAAAACTGCGTATAAATATAACGTTAATAACTGTTAATCTTGATTTTTTTTTTGCAAATCGTTACATAATATTTTGTCTGTCGCACTGACCAAACTCATAGGGCACACACACATTTAATGAATTATGTAAGATATAACTATAATAATTTAACAACCTATGTTATTTGTGGCCATTCGACTTTCAACACTATAGTAAGGCAAGCACCTACATATACACTCATTCCAATTGATTGTTAACTCCAAGTACACAAAAAAAAATGCCAACCTTAAGTCTAATCACAAACGTACCCAAGTACAAAGTACCGGCAAGTTTCTTGTCTGACGCGTCCAAGTTGGTCAGTGAGATTTTAAAAACTCCAGAATCGGTAAGTTTCTTCAACTTGTATTAAAGTTGCAGCCATGTGTAATTCATATAGATTAGGTACCTATACTTAAATTAACATTGGATTTTTTTTTTCAAAAATGTTTATTAAATAAATATTTAACAATTGAAATATTTACCCACAACGACTAGACTAAGACATATTATTAAATTAAGTAAAAAATTAAAAAATATTATTTTTTCAAAAAAAAGAACAGTATAAAACACAGTTTAGATCTTAACGCGTTTTAATTTTTTTTTCTAAAAATTGTGTTTTGTACATTCATATGTTGTTTCACGTTGCCAGTAATAGGTAGTTATTTTTATGTATTTCTTTTTTAATATAAATTTATCGATTTTTAATAATTAATGTCAACTAAAAATAAGTCTTTTTTTTTAGCTTTATTTATTTCAATTTTTGATGTTGATTTTTTTTTTTAGGAAATTTCTGTTAAAATAAAAACTGGAGATCCAATGTATTGGCATAACAACTATTCTTACTGTGGAATTGGTAGTTTGGCCGGAGTAGGCATTTATGGATTCGAAGAAAATAAGAACAACTCCTTTTCTATTTACAATTTTATTGAAAAACAACTTGGCATTCCACAAAACAGGTAATTGTTCTAACTAAACGAATTATACATAATATTGT